GTGTGCTTCCCTGCACACGGATCCATCCATGCACTCATGGATCCCTGCTACACACCCAGGAAAATGGGTCTGCACAAACACATGGACCATCTGTGCACATGTGGATCCATCCATGCCCACAGATCTGTCCAGGCCCATGTGGATCCATCCATGCACATGGAACTGTTCCTGTCTGTGTGGATCTATCCATACACGTGTGCACACTGGTGTCCATGGACATCCATGCAAATGGGTCCATCCATGCACGTGTGTGTGTCCATACACATGTGTACACAGGTGTCCATGTACATCCATGCAAATGTGCTGCTCGTGCACATTTGGATGGATGTGGATCCATCCAAGCACACGGATCCATCCATGCACATGTGGATCCATCTGTGCACACTGATCTGTCCATGCACGTGTGGATCCATCCATAAACACATGGATCCATCCGTGCACACGTATCTGTTCATGCACATCCATGCAAACGTGCTGCTCGTGCACAAGTGGATCCATCCAAGCACATGTGGATCCATCCATGCACATGTGGAGATCCATCCATGCACACATGGGTCCATCCATCCACACGTGGATCCATCCATGCCCATGTGGATACATCCATGCACATGGATCCATCCACGCATGTATGGATCCATCATGTACACAGATCTGTCCATGAGGATCCTTCCGTGCCCACGGATCTGTCTGTGCACACCCACGCCCATGGATCCATCCCTGCACCCTGGGATCCACTCCTGCACTCCCCCCCAGCTCTGCTCACACACCTCCATGTAGGAAAAGCACCAGTGGGGCGGGAATCAGCCCTGCAGGAACCATCGGGGCCCTCCTGCCATTCCCTGGTCCCTGACAGCTCCATCCCAACCCCCCAGATTCCCCCGGGCTGCTCCCACTGGGCATCGCTGGCTGTGCACACGTGTGTCTGTGTGTGGGTCTGGGGCACACATGTATCTGTGTGTGAGTCTGGGGCACACACATGTCTCTGTGTGCGGGTCTGGGGCACACACGTGTGTCTGTGTGTAGGTCTGGGGCACATGTGTGTCTCTGTTTGTGGGTCTGGGGCACACATGTATGTCTGTGTGTGGATCTGGGGCACACACGTGTCTCTGTGTGTGGGTCTGGGGCACACGTGTGGTTTGGGCACAGATATGAACGTGTGGCCCTGTGTGTGTGTGCACAGCTGTGTGTTACACGTGTGCAAGCGTGTGGGTGTAGCAGTTTGTACATGTGTGTGCATGGGGGATGTGTGTGTGCACACATGTGGGTCTGCACATGTGTCTGGGCATCACGTGTGGGGTCTGGGCATGTGTGTGGATGTGGTGCCCAGGGGTGAGCAGGGACACACGTGTGTGTGCGTGCGTGTGTGTGTGTGTGTGTGTGCATGTGTGTGTGTGTGTGTGTGTGTGTGTGTGTGCGTGCCCGGGGTGAGCAGGGACACACGTGTGTGTGCAAGGTGCAGGGTCCTCTGTGTCTGTGTGTGTTAGTGCACATGTACGTGTTCTGAGGGATGTCTGCGCACATGTAGAGTGTCTGTCCCTGGTGTGTGCACATGGGTGCACACATATGTGTGTGCATGTGTGTGCTATGGGATGATCATGCACATACACGCATGTGAAAAGCCCAGGGCTGTGTGCGTTTGTGAGCACATAGAAATGTTCCCAGGGGTGTTCATGCCCTTGGGAGGGCGGTCTGTCCCTGCTGTGTGTGCATGTATGTGCAGAAACGTGTGCACGTATGTGCATAAATGTGTGCCTGTGCCCACGCACCTACACGTGTGTTCAGGGCCTGGTGCTGGGCACGTGTGTGTGCACACGGACGTGTTCCGAGGGGTGTTCATGCACACGAGGGATGTCCGTGTGTGCACACCTGTGTGTGTGTGCTCGGGGTGAGCACACACGCGTGTCCATGGCATGGGCCGGGGTGAGCACACACGCGTGTTCATGGCATGGGC